ATAGACGTTTTTATATCGTCATCTGATATATATCGTTATATCGAACAGCCCTATTAAATTTACATGGTAGTATATTTATTCTTTATTCTTCAGTTAATAAAAAGATGTAGTCCACCCATCTGAACTGGACTAAATAAATTTGGGACAGTTTATTGTGATTCAGGTGTTTATATGGAGGACTTTTATCCAGTTTTGGCTTTTAAAACAGCGATAATTAGTATTATTATTGTAATGCTAAGCTTTAAGGAAATGTAGCCATTGTTTTCAGCTTGATTTACTTGATGCCCTTCCTTATATAGAGCCTCTGCAACCAGGCTAATTCCACTTCCTTTGACTCAATGCAATGCAAGTCCAGCAAAATAATCAGAATTAACTCTATGCTGGAAGAAGTATTCATAAAAACTGTTTACTGATCCCAAAATAATTCTGTTAGACCAGAATGTGGGAGAGGATGTGCGTTTGTACTCAAACGTATTATTTTACTTACGCAACTAGCTTAGCTTCAGTCGTAAACATGTAAGAAAATCTGCATGAGGCAATGTTAGGATCAGCACTGCTGTGCTGCTGTAAAGAAGATTAACATCAACCAATGATGCGGACTTTCAGCTGATAGCGTGTAAAATGGAAATACTTTGCTTCAATAATCTGCAGCTTCACAGCACACAAAGGCCTTTTTATAACCTCAACTGTCCCATCAGGCATCGCCATAGCACTGTAGAAAATATTTTAGCACTTTCAGCCAAGCTGTGATACTTCCTGTGTGACTCAGAAATAGAGAGCCCACTTCACGCTGAGACACATTTTGGCTGAAATAACCAATAGTAAAGCTCTCTTTTTGTGGAGTTTGCTCCTCGCAGAGATGGGAAATCATCATAAATGACTGTACAGTGTCAGTGCCAAGGGAAAGGAAGAAAAGACCAAACATGACACGGTGGCTTGACAGGGCTTCAGTGTGTCTGAGTGACAGGACATGCAATCTCCCCGTGGATTTCCCTTTTGTGTCTCCTGAATGGGAACGCAGATGGTTCTACTTCCTTATTTGGCACCAACGCTGATAAAATCCTGATTGGAATATTTGAACCCTATCATTTGATTTAGTGTTGTATGGATTCCTTTTTAGGGTTTATTAGGAGTCAAAGAGCTGCTCGTTTCACTACTGCTGAGGCCAAAATGAATATTCAAAAGAGTTTTTATGTAGCAGTTAGACAAGTAGTTTCAGATTTTGGCAGCTATTTAACTGAGAAACAAAAATCTGCTATTGCATATGAGGGGAAAAAAAAACCCCTCAGAAAGACAAGAGGGGTCTGGTGCACACAAAGAGCAGCAGCATTGTCTTGAGGCAACATGTAAAAAGCTCAATAAACACACTCTTCTCTCTGGAGTGCTCTGCCTTGCAGCTATGAACACTATACTGAATGTATACTGGTACAAATAGACAACAAATGGTCAGGCATGGATACAGGTGCAGAAACCAGCACAACATGCTCACACGAACACGCACCAAACTAAGAAGCCTCTGGATGTCTCTTTTACACTGAGCCCAAAGGGGCCCGTCCACATTTCAAATACACAGACAATCATCGAGGGAGGCAATTTTCACTACAACACCTGCTTCAGTATCGAACTGACCTTTTAGAGGGTGTATGTAGTGAAAGAGTGGAAGCTTGCACAGTTATCTCTATTTCCATTAAATCCTTAAATATTCTGTAGGTTGCAGACATTTTTTTGAGTTTACCAGTGTTGTTAAAACAAAACCCTTGAAGAAAAAAATGTAATTTTAAATGTAATCATCTCTCCTGCTAGAGTCGACTTAAATGGGCCATAATCTTTCTACTTTCAGTTACTAATTAATTTAACAGGTTTTCATTTTTTATATCAACTGTTCTTCTTCTTTGCCTTCGCCGCCGCCTATCCATAATCTTTGTCCAACAACAACATTTTATCTAACTCTACCACCCAGTAATCCATTCATGGCACTTTATAATACGTTTTTTTTTTAAGTTTGTTACAGGAAATTTAAAAAAGAATTATAATATAAGTACATTAAGTAACCCAGCAGAAAAACAAAGTATGTAAAAAAAAAAAATTAAAAAAAAATTAAGATTAATCCACGCCATAATACAGCCCGCACCCCAAAAAGTACAGCTGCTCGTTATGTAAGGTGGGAAAGTGCTGTTTGTTTTTCTGCAAAGTTACCAGTTATGTGCTGAC